GGACTCCACTAACATGCAGAGCGCAATCGACAGGGCGTCTGGAGAGGCAAATATCTTTTCCTTCTGTAATTCTGTTGTTTACTCCTCTACTCGATGATCACGTTGTCACGCTGCTGTGTGCCAGCAGTAGCACAGTGTTGTTGTCATTACGTAACCAAAGGGGGATAGCTCTAGCCTTGTGGACAGACAGGTAGGTAGAGAGAGAAGAACATTGATCATTGAACAGCGATGCAGATGTTTGCCAGGCTTGAGGAGACATCTCGACGACGACGACAGCTACCCTCGCTATTTGAGGAGAGGATAGCGAGAGAAAGCGAGAGAGAGTTTGGCCTTGGCCAACTGCTGCCGCTGTTGCCTGCAAGTCGATGTCATGTGATGCTACCGCTAGCAACTGCAACTTCGGCAGCAGCGGCAGACGCAGCTGCGGCTTCCATTACATACTGTTCGGGGGTCTGTGACATTGAAATCGCTCTTAGCAGCGGTGGTGGTGGTAGTGGGCTAACAGAGAAGGATGGCCAGCAGGAAAGAGATTCTGACTCTTCTGACGCCTAATGAGTCTCCATCTTCTGTCCGGTAAGGGCACTACTGGTGGCAAACAACCGCTAATCGTCAGGAGACTGTTGCGTAACGTATCCTTCTCTGGAGGCGATCAACTATTTATTGTTGACTGGATCTCGTGACACAGAGACAGCTCTCGTTATCGCTCTGGCCGCGCGCGTGCTCGTCTCTCCGCGCTTGCTCAACTTGAGACGTCTGTCCTGTGTCTCTCTCTCTATTTTCATCATCACCATCGTCACATCAGCGGCCACTTTAGCATCATAACCCCAAAGAACACACCGAACAACTAGCACGCCACCAATAGCAGTATGGTCCTGGAGAACGCCATCTTCTACTCCTCCCTCGCCTACAATGTGGTGCTGAACAAGCTGCAGTACCGACGATGGTACGACCGCATCGACCAGACGGTCATCCTCGGCGCTCTGCCCTTCAGAGGCAAGTCCTCGCGGATGGTTCGTAGAGTTCTGCTGCTCTGTTGTAGCTAGATGACCTAACCATAACATCTTTCTCTTTTGCAGCTGGTGGAGCAGGAGAACGTCCGCGCGGTGATCTCGCTGAACCAGGACTACGAGCTTAAGCCCTTCTCGCCGACCTTCGAGGAGTGGAAGTCCATTGGCGTAGAGTTCCTCCAACTGCCGACGCGTGACTTTGTGGAGGCGCCCTCGCTGGAGCACATTTACCGCGGCGTGGAGCTGATCGAGAAGTACATTCCCTCGGCCAGTGTTTACGTTCACTGCAAAGCTGGTCGCACTCGCAGTGCCACTCTTGTCGCCTGTTATCTGGTCAAAGTAAGTGTGTTTGTGTGTCTTTTTTGCCCCTCTTCGAGGGTGTTTGTTGTCTTGGCGGCACTTGTAAACAGCCACTTTTCACCCACTTACTTTTCTTCTTCCACAGCGCCATAATCTAAGCGTCGACCAGGCGGTGGAGATGATCCAGTCGAAGCGTCCCCACATCTACCTCGCCGACATTCACCTGAACGTGATCAGAGACTACCAAAAGTCCCTCAGTGCCTTCCCCAAGAAGTGATAACCCGACACATGTCCGATCTGACTATGATGACAAAGTCAAGCAGTGGTGTCTGCCATCCACTGACTCTCACTGTTGTCCCACTCACCACTACTCGCATTTAGCACCTTAGTCCCCACTCACAAATCTACACACACCCACATATCCTCTTGACTGATTGTTTTGTTGAACTACTAGGATCTATTTATTTTTCTAATTGTCCCCACAGCTGCTACGGATTGCTCAACTGACGAAACAAAAATCATTCTATTTTATTGTGATCACATAGTAATAATTAACCTGACAACATATAAAACACAGATAACTACGCACCAGTGCGGTCATTTCATTTCGAATTTTTGTGCCAGCAGCAAAACACTTTCTCCAAACTGCAGCAACATGCACCTCCCCAGCAAATCGCCCTCAAGCGAATGGGCCAGCATTCTTCTGATGCTCCTCACTGCCGGATTCCTAGCTCAAGGCGTCGTCGTCACACTGAAGAATACCACCAATGCAAGCGTGCAGATCGTCATCACTACCTTGGCAGCCGAAGGGAACGGCAACAGCAGCAGCAGTACTACCAGTACCGCCACTTCCGACCATTCCAGTCCAGATGAGAATGACCAGGTCACCTCCAGCATTAGCAGCAGCAGCATGAGCACCACCACCACTGTGAAGCTGGTGAAGCACCCCTTTCTGCTGGTGGTCACCCTCTTCACCTTCTCCTTCACGGTGTGCATCATGTCCGCCTGCATCTGCCTGCAGCGCTCCTCCGACCGCGGCCACGAGGAGGCGAATCTCGCCTCGATGTCGGTGTACAAGGACGCCCAGGAGGACCTGCGCAAGTACATCTCCAGCATCTACGAGATGAAGAAGCCCACCGGGGCCGGGCAGGCGGGGGCCACCACCAAGGCGAACCGCCAAGGCCCCTCGTGTCGCTCCGTCCTCGAGGAGACCGCCGTGCCCATCCTCGAGCCCAAGTCGAGAATCAGCTCGCGAAAGGCTCGCTCCAAGGTCAAGTCCTCAAAGTCGGGCAACGTCTGAGGCAACGATTACAGTTGCTGCTCTCTTTAATTCAAGCATGTAAATAATTTAATATCAACCAGTGCGCATCGGTGAGAAAGCAAAGAGGAGGAGTAGTAGAAGCCTTAGAGTAAAAATTTCATTGATCATAATATCATCGAGAGTAGTGGGGCGCGGCATGGTGCTCCGAGATAGAGGAGAAAGGCCATCCAGGTGTGTGATCAGTCTACTCATTCTTCATCGACTCCTCAGTGGGCATAGCCTGCATGTTGCGCTCAGCGTGCTGCTCCTTCTCAAACTGCTCGCGCTTCTTTGATCCCGAGACGATGTCATCGATTCTCAGCAAGAGTATTGCAGTCTAGGGGGAAGGAAATCACGGGTTAGATCATCATCATCATCATCATCATCGTCATCAAGCTCTAGCCTACCTCAATAGCAGTTTTGTAGGCCTGCGACTTGACGACCAGCGGCTCCCAGACGCCCAGCTTGGTCATGTCCACAATGCCGCCCTTCTCGCCGTCAATGCCCCAGTTCTTGTTGTCCTCGCTGGCGGCATGCTTTGCCCGCAGAGCGGTCAGAGTGCGAATACTGTCGCCGCCACAGTTCTGAATGAGCGTCCGGGGAATGACCTCCAGCGCCTTCGCCACCTGCCGGTACGGCCACTGGTGGACGCCCTTGATGGACTTGGCCTTCTCGTTAAGTAGCTTGCCCACGGCCATCTCCACGGCGCCGCCGCCCGGCAGAACGTACGGGTCGAGGAGCATGTTCCGGGCGACGCACATGGCGTCCTGCAGGTTGCGCTCCACCTCGTTCAGCATGTCCTTGCTGGCGCCTCGCAGCACAATGGTGCACGCCTTGGGGTTCTTGCACTTCACCAGGTAGGTAAAGTACCTAGGATTGGGGATAAAAGGGATCAAGGTGTAAGCACTTTGATACAAACCAATGAGGCGGTCACACTTACTCATCGCCAATCTTCTGGACCTCAAAGAGGCCGCAGCCATTGCCAATGTCCTCCTCGCGAATCTCCTCAGTGCGGAAGACAATGTTGGCGCCGGTGGCGCGCGAGACGCGGTTGTTGTCCGTCTTCTTCACGCGGCGAATCACGGAGATGTTGGCCTTGGCCAGGTAGTGCTGCGCCAAGTCAGAGACGCCCTTCTCGGTGATGACCAGGTCAGGCTTGAAGCGGACAATGTCATCGCACATCTTCTGAATGAACTCCTCCTCAATCTCGAGCATTCGCGTAAAGTCCGCCTCGTTGGTGATCTCAACGTCAGTCTGACTTTCGCCCTTCTTGTACTCGAGGCCACAGTCGAGCAGGAGAATTCGCGGGTTCTCAATGCGTCTGATAGAAATAAAGCATTGCGTAAATAACAAAGAAGCTAAAGCAAATTATCATACCTTCTCATGTTGGCATGAATGACGTCTTTGTTGAGCAGGATGCCGTCGAGGACGGTTGACTCTTCAATCGAAGCGCCGGGGATCTTCTCCACTCGAGCGTACTTCTTGATGTCAATCTCCTTGCGGCCGTTTTCCTCAATGAAAACCGTTTTGACGGCATCAAGAGCAAGCTGGCAGGCAAAGTCGCCCAGCTTGCCGAGAATCTTGGTGCCAATGCAGCTGCGCACCAGCTCGAGAATCTTCTCATCATTGGTGATGTCAATGGAGATGGCCACCTTCTCCTTGAGAATGACCAGCGCGTCGTCCAGCGCCTGTCGGTAGGCAGAAACAATCACAGTCGGGTGAATGTTTTGCTCGAGAAACTGCTGCGCGAGGGAGAGAAATTCGCCGGCGAGAATGATGACCGAGGTGGTGCCGTCACCGACTTCCTCGTCCTGAGTGCGGCTGATCTCGATCATGGTCTTAGCAGCGGGGTGCTTCACGGTGATCTCCCGCAAAATGGCATTACCATCGTTGGTCATGACAATGCTACCCATCGGGTTCATTAGCATCTACAAAAATGGAAAAGTTAGTTTGTTGAACTCGCAGTTTTGTTGCGCAACACCTCCGCCTACCTTAAGCATAGCTCGGGGCCCGAGACTGGTGCGAATGACGTCGGCAATCGCCTTGGCGGCCTTCACATTTTCAAGCTGCACCTTGCGGCCGGACTCGCGTCTGATCGAATCCTCTGTAAAACAAATGGGAGTGGTGATTAGCGANTGCCTTCACATTTTCAAGCTGCACCTTGCGACCGGATTCGCGTCTGATCGAATCCTCTGTAAAACAAATGGGAGTGGTGATTAGCGATTTGCAAAACAACAAAGCATCGCCTCGCACACAATACGCCTAGCCGGCAATACTTACTGAGCACGAGAATCTGCGGCTGNTTTGAACTCGCAGTTTTGTTGCGCAACACCTCCGCCTACCTTAAGCATAGCACGGGGCCCGAGACTGGTGCGAATGACGTCGGCAATCGCCTTGGCGGCCTTCACATTTTCAAGCTGCACCTTGCGGCCGGACTCGCGTCTGATCGAATCCTCTGTAAAACAAATGGGAGTGGTGATTAGCGATTTGCAAAACAACAAAGCATCGCCTCGCACACAATACGCCTAGCCGGCAATACTTACTGAGCACGAGAATCTGCGGCTGTGGAGCGTACATCTTCAACTAGAACTGGTGCCGGTTAAGAAAACTAAGAGGTGTTTGAAGGGGAGAATAAGTGACGGTGGTCAGTGGGTGAGTGATGATAAAGCCTGGAGATGGTGATAATGTCTTCGCACAAACACACTTTCTAGGCGGTTCTTCTAGAAGAGAGAGAGAGAGAGATTGAAAGAGAGAAAGAGAGAAAGCATGGATTTTACATTGTTTAGCTTCTGCAGCGCTTCGGCGCCCCTTCACAGAAGACGGAAGCCGGCTAGCACTCTGGCGTCAGTCGCACAAAACATAAAGGCTTTGTCTTGCACACAAGAAAGTGCCAAAACAGAACCGGCATTCCACCAAATAGAAGGTGAAGAGATCTTCCTTCTTATCTCTCTCTCTCCAAGATTCCACTCCCCCACCCAAGGGCCACTCCCGTCTTCCCGTCCACTTGATCCCCTTCTTCAATGAGCGGTCTCGCCGAACATGACGCCACTGATTCCAACAATGCCCCCACAACTGCCGCCAACGTCAGGCCCTTTGACTCCAAGTTTTCCAAGAGCTTCCGACGACAGATTCGCAAATATGTAGACAAGGTCTACAAGGTGTACATGAAAAAGTTCAAAAAGCCGCGCGATTTGAATAATTANGAGCTTCCGACGACAGATTCGCAAATATGTAGACAAGGTCTACAAGGTGTACATGAAAAAGTTCAAAAAGCCGCGCGATTTGAATAATTATGAGCGAGACTTCTTCTGGGTCGTCATCACTTATATCGTAATTGTTCACAAAGCCTTTTTTCGAAGCAGTTTCTTATTTCACTTTGTATGCATTTACAGATCAACCGCAAAGTCGGCACAACCATGGATATTGAGGACATTAAATCTCAGTATTTTCGAAAACACTCTAGTCAACAGAAGAGTCGTATGTCCAAAATTAACGACAAACGCCGACTGGTGAAGAAGATTATGAAATAAGAAAGGATGAAGAGGATCTTCTTTCCACTTGCAATTTTACCGGAATTAGTTTTACACTAGGCTAAATTTAAAGTTTAAAGATGTGATTCCGCCTAATTAAACCTCTCAGTTACAGTAATGTATTCTCAAGATTAGACACACTGTCATATCCTGAGGTATGATTATAACGACTTTTATTAATTTATGTACGACATCCACCCGGTTACTGGTAGCTTTTTAATTTATTGTAAACCAATCGAAAAATTGTGTCAATACTCTGTGATCCATCAATGTACTCTGTTAGTGAGTGGGAAAAAAGATAAACCATCATTTAACCATTACTATCACCAATAAAAAACACCCTCATGTAATCAACAACTCACTGATATCTTTCTGATCCTTCAGTTCTTCCTTGTTCTTCACGTACATCGGCCAAACCCACTGGTCAAAGTACCCCGGCGGGTCGGCGGGAATGTAGTTGCGGTGTACCCGACGCGAGAGAACCGTCTCCTTGTCGAGGTCGATGAAAAACTTTTCGTGGCAAATCTCAGCAATCGGCCTAAAT